CTCTTATGAATTCAGCGTGAAAATATAAATAAAGGCACCTAAACTGCAGCAGTTTATAATTCATGCATGTGAGTTATAAGATATCAATACCAGCGCTTACCATCGGATTACAAAACCAACACACGCTGCCCATTAAAATGTAATCTGCAAACATCAGCTATTGAATGTCTTTCCTGTGATTATGCGGCTTCTTCCACATGATTTTTCTTATTTTATCAGTGCGAGATTGTATAAATCTGCTCGTGCACAACCCTCAATGTGAACGTGTTTTTTTTTTTTTTCAAAAATCTTTCATTAAATTATTTCAAAATGATTATTGAAATGATTTTAAAAGAACGCATTTATTGTAAGTGGCAATAAAAATTAAACTGTTTTAAAAACAACAGTAACTGTATAATACAGGCTGTATAGGCTAATAATAATAACACACTGCACTATATCTTATCGAGCACGAGCGCAGCGCGGCCTTCACACATGCTTTATGAAAAAGGGTTTAAAGCAAAGGTCAATCGATTCCAGGACTATTCATTTGTAAGAAATAAATAAGGCAAGTTAATGCGGTGAATTCCACGAGGAGCTTTCATTTGCTTTATTATTTATTAGCTATATTTTTTTGCCAATCAGATTCGGTTCCAAAACGTTTTAGAGATGTTATTATGCATGCAGGCCTATCCGCGGCTATGTTGGACAGAGAGATGAAATGCATCGTTCAATAAATATAAAATAAACAATAGGTCTCGATCAGTTATTGCTTACATCCGCTTTAAGTAACAGATACGCTTTAGTTAGTGACTATCTCACATTTCGTTGCATATAGATCAGCATTCTGTGGTCTGAACGTGTTGTTTTAGGTAATTATGATTTTCCAACATTGCATTGGCGGATTCACCCTTGAGATCATCAGAATAAACAGTGCGTGAAATTAGTGAGTTTTCCCAGTGCTATGCATTGCGTTTGGAAAGACTGTCATTCCCACACGTCTCATATTTTCCATAAAAGCTAAAATATCAAAAGTCTTCTAAAGCCAGATTTGACGAGACACATTCACATTTTCCGTCTAAAATCCCACTATTAGCCTACCATTAAAAATGGCGCCTTTAGACACGCCAATGACAACAAACATTATTGGTTCGAGTCTTTCCTCACGCATGTACGCAGTTTGAATGGCCGTCATTTGCACTTACACACTTGCTTCGTTTACTCTTGTGGAGTATTATGAGGAGTTAGAGTAGCTATACAGCTTGTGTTTTTATTCTCATGCGCATATTTAGTCTATGCCATACCTGCAAATGAGTATAAATGTAGTAGCCTAGGCTATAGCATACGATATATTTTGTGTCGAGCAAATTCTGATTAAAAGCAAAGCAGGTGCGAAATGATAGAAATTAAACACGCTGACATTTGAGAGCAAGCGGTTAAGATAGCCTAATCAAATGTTAGGCTATTATCGTGTAAATAAATATATAAAACACAGCATGGCGAATGCACTCGAGGTTTTGAAGATGCATTATATCTGCTGGATGATTTTGTCCATCTCTCTCTCTTAAAGTGCGTTTAATACAGCAGGCCGAATGCGCGTCTTTCTTCTCTCTGTCTGCGCTCTGCTGTTGCCCTAAAAGCTGCAATGATCGATTTTCCTGTGTTTTCTCTCGCGCACGTGGTCCAGTAATCAGGGCCCCTTCCCGGGCGATCGATCCGTATCGATCCCTCGAGCCCAGTGCGCGCCCACGCGAGCGCGTGACACCGGGAGAGAGCAGAAATGAAGCTCGATATACAGAAACGCGAGACGATCGGACAAAAGAGCTGTAGATATGGGTCAGAGAGGAGGGAGTCCTCATTACATGTCGGTTGAGAGTTATAGTCTCCTCGATGATCTGTTGAAGTAAATGATTCGGTTTTGTCCAGGAAAGACAGTCATGAGGTAAAATCAACCCGATCTCACGGGAATTCGTACGAATTTTACGAGGTGGCTAATTCATAACAACTCTGCTAAATCGTACATATTTTACGAATTAGCCAATTCGTATGAACGACCTACCCCTGACCCCGCCCCTAAACATAACCATCACGTGGGTTTAGACAAATCGTACAAATTCGTACGAGTGAGGTCGTATGAATTAGTACGAATTAGCCACTTTTGAATCACTCGTACGAATGCTGCCATTTCAATAAACACTGACCACAGACCAAATATAACGCATGTTTACAGACTGATTTTAAAGGGTTCTCAATAACAGTTTAATTAGATAAACAAGCTATAGAGATATAGATAGATAGATGCACATACTGTACAGTTTTTGAGTGATTCTGCATGTTTGTGTGTGTTTTATTGGTGCTGTGTGCATGTGTGTGTGTGTGTGTGGGATGGCATATGAATATGATGGATGAGAGCGCTGCAGCTTTAGACAGCAGCAGTAAACAGATTTGACTGTGTAGGGGAGATCGATCGGCTCATGGCTCTCTGTAATTAGACATACAGTGTTCAGCCTGGCATCAGCACAATCTCACTGGGGGAACCCTGTGTGTGTGTGTGTGTGTGTGTGTGTGAGAGAAACACAGACGTGAGTAAGAGAAGGAATCGTAGAATTATACAGCAAGAACCCGAAAGAGATGTTCAGTGCATTAGCAGACGCGTTTGTGTGTTTTAATGAATGATAACAGCGAAGACTGTTGTTAAACACTGACATGGATTTAATGATTTTGTTGTTCGCTAAAAGCGGAAGCTGAAACTAGTGTTTTATAGAGTCAGCTGTGACCACTAACACATGAATGTAAATCCTCCGCTTGACTCCAAACTGAGTGGATTTTGCCTGAGGGTTCTCAAACATGAGTCCCACTGGACACACACACACACACACAACATGTTTTCATGTTTTATGGGGACTTTTCATAGACATGATTGTGTTTACTGTACAGAATGTATATTCTGACTTCTTACACTAACCCATACATCTAAAGCTGAATATACATGCATGAAATACTTTTAATGGCGCAATTTCTCTGAAATGTCTTATTTTTATTTATTGTATCAGAAGGACTTAAGAACATTTTTTCCTCTTAAAGGGATACTCCACTTTTTTGGGGAAATATGCTTATTTTACAACTCCCCCAGAGTTAAAATGTTGAGTTTTACATTTTTTGAATTCATTCAACCGATCTCCGGTTCTGGCGGTACCACTTTTAGCATAGCTTAGCATACATCACTGAAGTGCACAAGACCATTAGCATTTCTCTCAAAAAAAAATTACCAAAGTGTTTTGATATTTTTCCTATTTAAAACTTGACTCTTCTATAGTTACATCGTGCACTAAGACAGACGGAAAATGTAAAGTTGCGATTTTCTATGCTGATATGACTAGGAACTATACTCTCATTCCTGCGTAATAATCAGGAAACTTCCCTATCGTACCATGAGTGCAGCAGGCGTAATGTTACGACGCAGCGCCTGAAAATAGTGCCCAGCTTCTAACGTGACCGGGACTAAGTTTGTGTAGTCATCGCGCCTGCTGCACTCATGGTACGGCAGTAAAGTGTCTTGATTATTACGCAGGGATGAGAGTATAGTTCCCAGCATATCAGCCTACACTGTTAGACCTTACCAGGTTTTTACAGTAAAATACTGGCAACACTGTTGCCAGTCATTTACTGTAAAAATGCACTAAAACTCAAGTTAACTAAAAAAATACAACTTATTAGTTTCAGTGCATTTTTACAGTAAATTACTGGCAACAGTGTTGCCAGTATTTTACTGTAAAAAACCTGGTAAGGTCTAACAGTGTAGAAAATCGCAACTTTACATTTTCCATCTGTCTTAGTGCACGATGTAACTATAGAAGAGTCAAGTTTTAAATAGGAAAAATATCGAAACACTTTGGTAATTTTTTTGAGAGAAAAAAGTGCTAAAAGTGGTGCCGCCAGAACCGGAGATCGGCTGAATGGATTCAAAAAAGGTAAAACTCAACAGTTTAACTCTGGGGGAGTTGTAAAATGAGCGTATTTACAAAAAAAGTGGAGCATCCCTTTAATGTTACACATATCAAATATTTATAAAATTTGCTAAACATTATTTTAAGAACGTTTTCATAACCTTTAGAAAACGTTAGAGAAAATGATGGGAATGTTCCCGTTATAGCTGGGAATCCTTACTGTGATAGTATAATATACATAAAAGACTCGAATGATGTCACTTTTTCTGCATTATCTCAGTTTAAGTGGCAGCTCTATTGTTTTGAGGTAAATTACTGATGTGAAAGAGGTTACTCAGATAAATTAAAATGATATAACATAAACTGATATATGGTGTGATCACACTATTAAATATTTTAAAACAAAATTTCTACATGGATTCAGCCTATTCCTTTACAGTCCCCCTGTGGTGAAAATCCAGCTTTTAATGTTGTTTATGTGTGTATGTGGTGTTTTTAATACGGTTTAACACACACCATAAGTTCAGTCGACAGCATTGCTGAGTATATTTTCTCCTTAAAACAAAAGACAGTCTCAAAAACACGCTTTGAAATCGCTGGTGTTTCTGACGTCACAAACGACCTTGTAACCAATCAGATCAATGTATGATCGACAGCCAGAGCTGAGTGAGAGGAGGCGGTGCTCATTTGCATATTCATAGAACCGCGCATACTAAATGAGGGAAGGGTGTCAAGTTACATTCAAGATATTTTGAATTAAAAACGTTTAAATAAGTCATTTTGATGATCAAAGATGATGAAATGATTGACTAGGGGGACTTAAAAATATTTGTTTTATGAAATAAGTTTGCATTATATCCGAGCTTCTCTCACTGAATGACTCCCCTCATATAAACAACATTAAAAACCTGATTTTCACCAATATTTGTTTTATGAAATTGGTGTACTACATCACAAGCTTCTCTCACTGAATGACTCCCCTCTTTGTTTTCAGCTTTGGTTGCATGAGTTTCTGTTTGCTCGTGTTCTTCTTGTATTTTCACTTGTCTCTTTCTCTCCGTCTCCTCATGGCAGCGTGCAAGAGAAAGGAACAGGAGCAGCACAAAGACCGAAACATGGTCCCGAAGAAGCAGCGCCTGGTGTTCACCGATCTCCAGCGCCGAACGCTCATCGCCATCTTCAAGGAGAACAAGAGACCCAGCAAAGAGATGCAGATCACCATCTCTCAGCAACTGGGCCTGGAGTTGTCCACCGTCAGCAACTTCTTCATGAACGCCCGGCGTCGATGCGTGGATCGCTGGCAGGACGAGCACGCGGCCAGTCCCGGGCAACCCGGCACATCGGCAACCACTTTCTCCAAAGCCTGAGCCGATGCCAAGCTGACGGACCAGCGCCGGATGCGTCGAACCAACAGATGATGATGATCTACGGCGCCCATCAAACCTCACAAACCTCGTCCGGGAACGGCGGGTGCGGATGAGCTCCGGCAAAACCCAACGCATTGCACGCTCTTCATTCGGTTTCTTAGTTCTTTCTCATCACGGATACTCTCGGGGAAAAAAAAGGTACAAAAGCTGTCACTGGGAGGGTATCCTTCTAAAAAGGTACATATTAGTACCTCAAAGGTGTCTTACATGACCCTGGACCACAAAGCCATGCAGTCACAATAAGCTTTCCATTGATGTGTGGTTTCTAGGGTTGGGTATCGTTTGAATTTGAACGATTCTGATTCCGATTCCGATTCCTTGTTTCGATTCCGCTTCCTAACGATTAACGATTCCGATTCTTTTAAGAGGCAGGGTCAAAAAAGTTTAGCTAACCTTGCTAACCAACGGCCTTTCTGAAGGAAATACTCCTTCTGTAAAAATACTCCCTTTGTCACAAATTTTGCATTTTGCAGAGATTTCGTTATTTTTAGAAAAGTGAAGCCACACTTTGGATCGCCGACGTAAGGTACTCATGTTCGACTCGCACGGTTATGCCAACACTTCCGGTAGACGCTTCTTCGTTGGTGTTGTTCAGCGGATTCTTCTTCCGGTCGGCGGACTGTGAATATCGAAACTAGGAATCGAAATTTTAACTTCTGAACGATTCCGGGAAAAACGAAAAGTTAGTCCCGGTTCCAATCGATACTCGATTCTCGATACCCAACCCTAGTGGTTTCTCTCTAAAAAATGCTGGGTTGTTTTAACCCATTTTTGGGTTACTCAAACATTGGGTTAAAAATGTAACCCAATGGCTGGGTTTGTCCATAGTTAACCCAAAATTGGGTTAAAACAAATAAGCATTTTTTTAGAGTGTTGTTAGGATGAGCAACTGAAACCTGCAAATCTGGAATCTGAGGGTGCAAAAAAAAATCAAAACATTGAGAAAATGGCCTTTAAAATTGTGCATTTATGTTCACGCTTTTGCTGCATAAATGAAAAAAAAAAAAAACGATAATTTTGACATACAACACCCGTGCGACTCGTGACTGGTTTTGTGGTCCAGGGTCACATATTAGTATCTAAATGACACACATTAGAACCTTTTGAAATGATACGATCCCCGTGACAGCTTTTGTACCTTTTTTCCCTGCGAGTGTTGGACGTTCCCCTCACCTGTGCTTGATATTTGAGCTAAAACATCTCTCATCTCAAAGTCTCTGGATTAGCCAAGCTATACGGAAATTTCTCTCTCTCATAGAGCAGTGGAAAGAAGGAACAGAAGGCAATGCGTATTTTAGCACACACACACACACACACACCCATTCCCACTTATTTGACCCTTGACGCAAACAATTCGTATAGTTTCAGGAGTGTTTTCACTGCCAGTGTGGCGCCTTGTTCTTGCTTCAGCACAATGATAAAGGGATGCAAAGAATCAATCAGGCCTCTGTATCTTCCCCTAAAGAATCATTTTACCGTAGGGGTTTTACAGAGCGCTTCACCTGCACAGAGCAACAGCGCCACCTCCTGGAGATCCACAGAAACGCACCTTTCTTAGATGTCATGCTGCCTTCAAGACAGTGTTACTTTGGTCCTTTAACTTAAACTAAACCAAAGTGAGACATGCTGCATTCACTGAAAATAAGAACTTGCTTGATAAAATCCTCGTAACACATTTTTATTTACTTCTCTACACTTACCTGTTATTATCAAGTACAATCTACTTAGTATTGAAATTAACATTCATCTGACACAACATTCAATTGAAGCGATCAAGTAAATGTTACTTAATTATATTAAATTTCACATATAGAATTATGTAACATCTACTTAACTAAGTTAAGTCAAATTTCTCAACAATATAACATTATAACCACATTCAAAGTGTATTATTTACTGAGAAACATATGTAAACAATACAATAAATTCCATATTGTATCGATTCTTAATAGAAGTAACATGGCACCTGAACCTCAAAACTTGGTACACAATACACTTGAGTAAATGAACGTGTCATTCTGAGTAGAAAGTGAATCCAAATGTCACAAAATGGCAAGTTACTGAACCCACAACAAAAGCAGTGATAATCACAGCTGGAAAACATAGTAAAAAAAATCTACATTATTAATTATTCATGCCCCAGTGCATGATGGGAACACCAGTATTAGAAAAGCTGAGTAGGTTTTACTTAATTTTATATCGTTGAGATTTACACTTTAATTTCTACAAGCTTGAATTGAGTACTAAATGTAGGATTCACTTTTTTATTCTTCCCTGAACTAACTTTTTCATGTAGAAACTGACTTTTTTTCATTGTAGCACTGTAAAAAAAATATTGATGGTTTAACTTAAAAAAGTAAGTAACCTGGTTGACTTAAACTGGAAAAAGTGAGTTAATACAATAAAGGAGATTAATTTAACCATCAGAAACTCAAAATTATATGTTATCTGAACTAAATAAATTATTTAAGTTGATTTGACAAAAGAAAAAATGTTGTGATTACTACACTGTAAAAAATATTGTTGGTTTAACTTAAAAAAGTAAGTAACCTGGGTTGCCTTAAAATTTTAAGTTGATTGAACTGGAAAAAGTGAGTTAATACAATGAAGTAGATTAATTAACCATCAGAAACTCAAAATAATAAGTTCTCAACTAAATAAATTATTATAAAGTTGTTTTGACAAAAGACAAAATATGTTGTGATAACAAATCTACAGTGTGGAATATTTTAACCTTAATTGCATCCAATCAAATAAGGGTCATAGCGTTTCCCCATCAATCTCAAACCCCGCTAATTGCAATTTCCAAGTAAAACATCTTGAAGGCAGCATGAGTCAGATGTCAGTATTATCATCCATAGATCATCAATGTTTTTTCATGCATTTATCCAAAGATATTTTCCGTTACCAAAGACGAAACAATCAGTAATGAAGCGGAGAGTAAAAGCCGTGGATTATTTTCCTCCTGTTTGTGGAGACCTGCAGCTTCTAATGGCCAAAACCTAAAGGTAAAATGTCACTGTATGATAATTGAGTGCCAACGACAGATGCCTTAACGATAATCATAGAGGATGTGTGCGGCTCCGACTCCCTTCCTTTCCCATGAGTCTGTGCGGGTCGGTACCGTGATTCCCAAGAGGGGCCGGAAAACAAACACTCGTTCCCGAGATCCGTTGTTTGTTTTGGAAACCAAATCAAAGCATTTACCAAAACGTACCGAATATGAATTTGTAAATATTCCTCTAATCCTCCTCTCTCTCTCTCTATAATAACGATGCGGGTAAAATGTTACATAGACACAAAGTTTGTATTAAACGTCTGGACTGTTGTTGTGCATAAACTATGTGTAAAGAAGCACCTTGTGAACGAAACGACAAGAAACAAGGGATTGTTGAGTATATTTGTGGACTCCTGAACTCTCGGAGCGGAGAACGACAGAGCGACTCTTTGTTGTTTCTTTGTCTATCAATCCAAAAAAATGTTCCTGCTGGTGAAAAAGGCCCTTGATGAACTCCATCCTTTGCTAAACTCCTGTCTCTCTGTCGGACAGGTAAGACAGCAGAAGTCTGTAGCATTTTAGAGGAACGTATTGACCATTTCAGAGTCCAAGAGCAAGTTTTTTTCTAAACAAACTCTGATGTGAAGCAAAAATGTGAAAAAAGCGAACACACACACACCTCGTTTGTAGTGAGAATCAATGTGGCTACCTCACAGAAACACAGTGGTGTGTGTGATACAGCCACTGATACCAAAGATTCTTCTTCAGCCTGCCAGCTTAATCTTCATCATCATCATCATCACCCGCTCACAAACACACACACACCAATGTGATTCAGTGTAGCAACACATTTACTCACACACACACAGTAGCTCATCTAAAAGGGGACGTTGTAACCGCAAACCGTAATTTAAAAAATCACAATTTCCAAGCTAACAAAAAAAAAAAAAAAAAAAATGTACTAAGAACGTTTTGCTACTCTTCCCATTAGGTTATGAAAATGTTTTTTTTTCTCGGAATGTTCAAAATGCCCAGTTTGTGTTTAAAAAAACCAAACGTTCCATTTTGCAAACGTTACTTTTGAATGTTCTCTGAACATTCCGAAACTAGTAACATTTAAAAAGCGTTAAACGGACGTCCGACTGAAATGTTTCGGAAAAAAAAAATGTTCCGTGAAACATTGAGAACATCATTAAACGTCAGATAACTTTGAAAGAACATTATATTAATGTTACTGGAAGAACGTTTGTTTATAACTTTGCCAGAACGCTCCCTGTTAGCTGGGTTTGCCCCCAAAACTAGGCTGAGCACACACACACACACACACACACACAGAGTAGTCAGACTGCATTATGTCACGGTGAAGGAAGTGGCAACTATGCAGGACAAGTTGAGTGCCTTTTTCCTTCAACCACGGGTGGATTTGCTCTGAACACACACACACACGCACACACACACACACACACTTTTTTAAAACATACCTGCATATTTTTTGCATAGAAAAGGAGTTTCCATTCTGATAAAGAAGCACTTTGTTTTTTTTATGAAAGTAGTTGTTTTTCTATTTTCTGCATTATTTATGTGTGATATTTCCGTGTGGATATGCCTCTGGATTCACACACACACACTTCCGACAGAGCTATTTTTGTGTAATTTACAGTATTACGGAAGTGTGTGTTTGTGATATTTGTGTAAAACTGAGGTATACCTGCACTGTCAGTGGTCGTCCAATCATAAGCCTCCATCGGTCAGTCATTCGACCAATCGAATCGCTTCGCTGACCAATCATGTCATTTCACGCTGGCAGGCATGTGTTGACAATGATAATTCTGATATACCTCAAATACTTGTAATGTAAAGGTAATCTGATGAAACAGTAACGATGATAGTAGAAGATAATACTGCTAAATAATAGTTTTGGAAACATTGTGACTTGAAGCTTTTTACTGTTCTGTACTTGTCTTGTTGAGTTGAGTAATTTTCCACTTTATTTTGGCATGCTCACTCGAAATCAACCTTTTTTTTAAGGGGAGGTCAGCGATTACTGAACATTTGAGTGGCATCATAGACAACATGTTGGTGTCACGGGAGCTCACGGGA